TTTCTCCATCTCACTCTCTTCCTCTCTTGGATTTTTTTCTCCCTCATCGTAACTCCTTTTTCCTCTCTTCATCTCTCTCTCTCTCTCTCTCTCTCTCTCTCTCTCTCTCTCTCTCTCTCTCTCTCTCTCTCTCTCTGTCTCTTTCTTTTTCTACCACACTCGAACAACCTCTCCCTCTCCCCCCTCTTCTCTCCATCTTTATCTCTGTTTCTCCCTCTGTCCCCTCTTCCGTACATGTACCCCCCCCCCCTTTCCCGATAAGCACCGCAATGTATTCATGTAGCTGCCCCATCTTCGTGACAGAGTCAGCCCGACTCACTCATAAAATCACCAGCCCTCTTCTCACCGTGCCAGGCTACGACATTGTCGTTCCAAAGGCTCTGGTCGCAAAACACCGAGATTCCAGCGCCAGCCTCTCCAGGGAGCGAGGAGGTGGCAGACCCCCCAGTCACCATCGTGTGAATATAACGTGTGCAACGAGTTACATCTCTCGAAAATGTCCTGCCTGTTATCGATGGCTGTCCAGGATTTATTCTCACAGACAACTTTCTTATTTTAGAAGCTATTCCGGGTTTTCAGGATTGCATCTATGTTGGTTCTTGTTCAAATCAAACCACCCGATATTCACAAGAGATCGCAAGCAGTGAGTTATGTTTTAAAGGGTTGATCATTGACCTTGGAAATGATTCGTCGCTGTACAGGATAAATACAACATTCCGATGCAATAGTAAGATCATCTTTAGTTTTTTAAATAGGTACATTGCGTACTTTGTTTTTCAGGTTTGAAAGAACTCCGGAAAGTCCTCTAACGGTATTAAGACACGCTAGCTACTAAGATGTAATGGTTCAAGATGTGTAACACAAGTTCTCAGCCATTTATTTTTCTTACACTATAATAGGCACTTGTCGTATGCAACATGCTGACTTGCTTTTAAAAAGGACGCTGGATGAGACAACGTCTTAGAAAATGAATAATTAACTTGACAGAATGTTAAAGTACTCTTTTCCTTTTCGGTAAACTCTTGAAAGTCGACATTGAGACCGCCAATTGAGTCAAACTTTGTTTTGGGGGATACTTCTTGGTTGAGATATCTTTGTTTGCCAGTCGACCAGGTGAGTGCTGATAACACTTTGTTAGTAAGAGCAAGAAAGCTGTTTCAATTACTTATATGTATAACACCCCCACTCCTCATGATAACCTGTTAGCTAAAGACATAATTTTGGCTCGGCCTGGTTACTATTGCGAGCTCATCACAAATGTTTTAATGTAGTTTTTTTATCCCTCCAAAAACACTAATTTTAGATCATTCAGGAGGCGGGAATCAAACATTGCCTGTCAGGGTCAAATCAGAATGAGATGGATACAACATCCCAAAAGAAAGACAGAGATACTCGATAGAAATTCTCCTCGTTCAGAAACCGAACTAAGGTCTGCTCCGTGCAACAGTGAAGCAAATATAACAGCTGCATCACATATGACGGAACGCTTGTCTCGATGTGTTACTCTTTTTGTAAAGCCTGCTTCAAGGAAAACTTCCAATGATTTCATAATTGACATCCCTGTCGAAGACGGTATCCACACATGATTTGGAAGGTGTGTCTATTTATTGGTGTCCCTTGTGCCCTAGATCTGTCAAATTATCTATTTTAGGAATAATCCTTTTTTCCGTATTATCAATAAAAGCTGAAAAGTAAAAACATATTTTTGAGTAGACAGAACAAACATACAAACGAAAAATTAAGACTTTGTACTCAAATAGATTTATCTGTTTCGATCCATTTTGAGTACCATGACGTCACTAGTGTGTCAATGCCTGGCGGTTAACCAGGTGGCTGTGTCTGGCAAACACGCCGGAGCACCGCTAAATGAGATAGCGTATTGCCCCTTGTGGGAAAAAGCTCCAGGAAACCTGTTTTCTACTTTCTTTTTATTAAGGTTGCTTTTTTGTCTCGTAATAAGTAGGTTTTCGTTTGCTGCAGCAGTCTGTAATGTTTTTCAGTATTTTGGATACTATGTCAGTGACATTTTACGATAATGTGTCTATATCTTCCAATTGCGAAGTATAGAAAAAAACACCTTTCTTTGAGAAAAGAAAAAAAATACATTTGCGCCAACCCCGGCATCTCCATCATATCAGTTCGCTGCAGCATTAAGTCAGAATCTGATAACGTTTACATTCAATCCCGCCATCATACAACAGCTTCTTTGTGAAATATGGACCGTTTGGAACAGGTTATTATTTCTACCCTTTTATATGGGATATTGAAAAGACAGACGCCTTGCCATCGCCAAAACTCATTAGGTTGACGCTTTGTCGATTAGGGCAAATCTTGTGGATTTGTTTAGAGTACATCATTCCTGTCAATGCAGATGAAAAGAACGATGACGTATTGTTCATTGAAAAATTGGGTAACTCTCCAACTTTATTTATTTAAATGATGTTTTGAATTTAGCTTTTTCTTCAATAGGAATACGATTTGAAATCCTGAAGAGGCAGACAAAAGCAAAATAGCTAAGGCATTTCTCCATAATAACGTTATGGTCGTTTTATTCGGAGTTGCTTTAATGACTTCAAATTTGAAAGTTATTGTGTGCCGAAATCGATTTATTTCCCGGCATTTTCGTCTTGAAAAAAATGAAAGCATTAGGAGTTATATTAAAACTAATAAGAAATGTCCTTGAGCATACTACAAGCGTACTTGACAGCTAGGAAATGTTTTATCTTGGTTACAAAACGACGCCATACACAAGCAAAAAACGAAGCAACTTACTGGTGCTCAATGTTTCCCTTTTTGCAAAGCGGGAATACAAGAGTAGGCACCATTAGATACATAAATAACATTACGTGACCATAATATCACTTTCCGATAGTCTGAAAAGTTTAGTCACAACAAGTCCACAGCGGGCGATACAATCGTGTCACATTCAATGATGAAGGATATTGTTTATGACTACTGCTATTCATCAACACAGAGACACAAAATCATGAGCATTCGGAATAGGGCGGCTCCAGAATTAAAATTTAGCACTGTATTAATGTTTTACTTATGCACCATTCCGTTAGTGGATCATTCTCTTCTAGGGGTCGGGTGAGCAAGCTATTCATTGTTTTCTTCCTTGATAATAACAGCAGTTCTGGAAGACCTTGGTCTAGTAGGAAGCTTAGCTTACAAAGACACCGGCCGTATACGGATTAAAATATAGATGAGATTAATTATTATATTTTTACATGCTTTATTAAAACCGTATTTAAATATTATTATGTATTCTTTTGAAATGGGTTCAAGCATTATTAAGGTGAATGACCTCAATTTCAGGGACTTAATAGTAGCTGTCGGGATTAACCCTAATTACTTTGAACAATTTGTTTCGTATATTTGGAGCGTTTAAAGAAATGGATCACCTTGCTTGAAGAAAAGGTGGTCGGAAACAAGTCATTTTTTAGAGCACTTTGTCCTTAGGATATTTCTACAGCTCTCGCCTCAGGGTCTGTACCCCAATTGTCAGAGCCAATCAAATAGTGACCATCTGAAAGATCACGGCTTGTGGTTCAGCTCTCGAAATGGTGTTTTGTTTTAAATGGGGCGTTAAGTTGGACAGAAAGAAATGAACCATCTCTGCATTGGTTTAAAATCGTTTATAAAGATAGCCTTTAACTCACCCCTCCTTTCTTCTCTCTGTCTCTCTCTGTCTCTCTCTGTCTCTGTCTCTCTCTGTCCCTCTTTGTCTCTCTTCCCCTCTCTCTGTCTCTGTCTCTGTCTCTGTCTCTGTCTCTCTGTCTCTCTCTCTCTCTCTCTCTCTCTCTCTCTCTCTCTCTCTTCCTCCTGCCCCTTTCCCTCTACAAGAGTAAATTAAGTATGCTTAAGGAAAAAAGCAGTGACAATTCGATGCAAATAGAACCGTACTACTGGAACAGCAAAGGGGAGATCGGCTGACGTTGCAGTTGCGTCAAAGACAACGTCAAATTCAAATAAAAAGTGCAAGTGGAGTTCACTAATTTAATGTATTCAGCTCTTTTGAAAACATTTGTAATGATGTATTGGGCATGAAGCCATGAGTTGTAAGCTGGGTATGGTTTATTTTTCAAAGCCAATTTCATATATATGAACACTACACTTATGGACCTTTCATTAACTCAGTTGATAAGATGGACTACCGAGCCGATTTTGTTCAAATCCAAGACTGGGCGTTCTTGAACTCGAATCGTTTTGTGAAGTTATCAAAACACTCAACCCATTTGGTTTGGTTCTGTGTCACACAGATTTTAGATTCGGAGGCCCTCCTTTTTAAAATAACATAACAGTGTTGATAGGGGCTTTACACTTACTTACATTTACACACTACAATTAAGAGACGGAATCGGTTTAACATTATGATATTTCAAGAGACAAAAAAGTCAACCTGATGCATCAAACAACCATGAATAGCATATTGCTATCTACCTATACATAAATGCAAAGACAGTTTCATCTTTATTATTAATAATAATAATAAATAGCCTTTGTATAGCGCATGTCCCCACTCGAAAGCAAGCTCAATGCGCTTTACACTATATTATTACCGCAGCAGACCAAAGAACACTCAGAAACATTCTCAGCTTCCCGGGAAGCATGCAGTGCAAGCAGCTGGTTAAGCGCCCAAACACTAAGAAACTGTTATTATTAGAGAAGACCATCTATCACATAATGTCTCAACATGTTTAATAATGCTTATAATGTTGACAATGGCGACATGTGAAAATAAAATTTAAAACATTAAAAAACAGAGCTTAAGCTCAACATTTTGGAACACCACGCACCCCCCCCCCCCCACCTCGTAAAAAAACAACTTCCGCCCCTACCTTTTCTCACTCCCCTTCTCCCCACCCACGGTCCCTTAAATACCATCGTTCCAAAGTTGCCACCGGTGATGCTTCACGGCGTAATGTGAGTGTCACTGACGAGGTGCTTGTATTTATTTCTTCACATCATGGACGAATATCGTGCTAGATCATATCAGGTTCGTTGCAGATATTTGTCAATTCAAATATTAATTTAAAAAGAACTTACTTGATTTTCTAGATTTAGGGTTATTGTGTGCCATTGTGACTTACTTCATATAAATCACGGGATGTTGCGACTTGTCTTTTACGGTGGTGAAAAACCTTATGTATGATGTAACTAAGAGTGAGGTTAATACTCTCTGACATTAAAACCCCGGCGGCCCCTTGTGGCATGAGAGAGATCGATTTCCACTGATGAGAATGAGCAGGAGTATCGAGTACCCGTCGGAGAAAAACGGGGAACCGTCTTGTATTGAGGCTGAGCAGAGATCCGGGGAGACAAAGATGCTGAAATCGGAGCAGAGCCAGGACGAGGCAGAGACGAGCGACTGGAGCGAAAATGAGGACAGTCACTCCGGCAAACTGGACGCCAACTCGTGAGTAAAAAATTGATGACGTCATGTGGTTCCTTTTTGAACGAAATAAATAGCTTTGAATTTTCATGAGGACGCTGCCAGTCTAAGCTGTGTTTTTAAAAATATGTCGGCGTTGTTGGCTTTTTTTTTCTTTTGCTGTCGATTCCATTTTTCCTTGTTGTTGTTGTTGGTGGTGATGATGATGTCGTAACTGTCGTCCCCCCCCCCCACCTTTTGTTTTGGTGTGTCATTGCTTAAGTAGTTCGAGATGCTAATGGGCCATAAAGACAAAAACATATACTATTTAAAAGCATAAGTCGTGTTCGCTTGCATGCTTCTGCTTATGTTGGCATCTAGTCGAGAGTCGCTCCTTTTTACTTTCTTTTGTCTCGTTCTAACTTATCTGTGAGGGCTGTCTAAACGTGGAAACAGCCATATTATACCTAAAAAAATTATATTTGATTGAAAATTGCACAGTAAGTAATAACACCACTCAGCTACTTCTCAATAACAGAATCGTCCTGAAAACCGATATTTTTTTCTACCACTCACTATCCCCTGGAAAACCACTATCGGGTCGAAAAAATTCGTCCAGTCTTGGGTTTCTGAAACGATATCGTCATCTTTTGTGAATAACTTTGATGATAATAGATATTCTTTCAATGTTCCAAAAAGGTAACGGTGAGATTGAGCCAGGTGTGGAGTCTGTGGAGAATGCACAAATACCTTCCAGACATGACTATGGATGCTGTCTTTAGTTAGATACCTTTTGCGAGGAGTAGCGGTTTCGGGCTAAAGAATAATGCTCTTGCTCCCGAGCCAGGTCGAGTTCTATTTTAGTCAGTTGCAAGGGGACGCATCGAGTCGACTCTTTAAAATAACTTATAAGTTCATCTGCAGTCGTGTTAACCCCAGTGGCGGCTCGTGGTTTATAGAACTGACCGGCCATCATTCACATAGACTCTTTCTTCCTTCCCCCACCCCCTTCCTTC